CAATGTAACTTACTACTGAAAATAAAACAATTACACGTACAGTACATATGTACTTTTCAAAGCAAAACAACATAGGTTTGTCGATGAGCCTACTCTGTAATGAAAAAATTGTCGATTGTTGCCTGCTTTAACGAGTCTGTGGCAATGGCGGTGACCTCCTTGTCAAGTTTGCGCAGGAAGGCCATGTCACTGAACCCATGTGATAGCAAACCAAGCCTGATCGTCTTAGCTGCAGACATCATTTCCTTGATGGTCGGGACAGAGATCTCCTCTTCCTCCTCTTCCTCCACTTTAGTGTCGGCGTCATAGTCTGCGTCAGTAGCAATTCCCATTTCGCGTTGGNCGTCGTCGTCATTGCTCTCGACCCTTTCGCCTTCGCTTGCCGCTCCGATGAAAATTCCTCCTTTGCGCCAGCAGTTCACTATGCCGGTAGTCTTCACATCATTCCATGCTGCGTCCGTAAACAGCATAGCGTCGAGGATCGTTATCTTTTTCGCCAAGTCACTCGCTGTCATTGCTCCATCCTCGTTGTCAATCTCAGTGAGCACTTTTCGTAGCATGGCACGGCGGTAANNGAACAGAGGTTGTGTTCGGCGGGAGAAATGCCACAGTAATGTTCGACAGTTGAAGTGATTGGGGATGTGCCGGACAGTTGTCGATGAGAAGCAACGCTTTCTGGTCATGACGCCGAAGCTCGCGATTCCACTCATCGAGCCATTCAGTGAAGAGGAAACCTGTCATCCATGCGGAGGAATTGGCTCTGTAGCGANNGCAGCAAAAAAGCACCGTGATTCTTTCCTTTGGCTTTTTCCCACCGCAGTGCTGATCTCCCTTGAAGAGGAACGTTCCGTCTGGTAAGGCCCGAAAATACAACCCGGTTTCGTCAGCATTCCAGATCTCATCAGCCGTGAAGCCTTCTACGAGATCCGGAAACACGTGGTCCAGCCATTGTTGTTTCCCTCCTACGTCAGCCGCCGCTGCCTCTCCGTGAAGTTTCTTGTGGACGATTCCATGTCTTTTCTTGAACCGGTCAATCCAGCCGTTTGTCGCACTGAACTTCTTGTTGTTGAACTTTTCCGCGAACTGAGCCGCTTTCTCCCGCATCAGAGGTCCAGAAAGCGGTGCTTCCTTTTCTCTAGAAGT